TGTGCAAAACATTCAACAGCGCTCTAATAAATCGTTCGTCCGCATCATACATTCCTACGTAATGAGTTCAGGATACGTGTAATTTTGTATTTACTGCTTTTAAGTCTAATTAGCCTTTATATTTTCATACTTGTTCGACGATACTGAATAATTCTTTTGAAAAACGATAAAATCATATAGTAAAATGAGTGAAACTATTGACGCGAGCACTCGAGCACTATGGCATAAATAAATAATAAACATTGAGGAATTATTGGAGCAGAAACGTTGATGCTAGAACGACTCGGCTATCCTTACGTTCCTGTGTTGTCAATTCCGACTTTGATATTTTCAAGTTAATCGAGGTAGACTAGATGCTCTGACTGAAATTCTCTGCAATGTACCTTGATCAAAAGTTTGTAATGGGGATATTGGGCAATTTCCATTTGCTTGATGGTCCGATCTGAAGTGGCTGGGATCGTTGGCCGTAACCGAGGTGGAGGACGAAAATAATGGAAAAAACCGACAAGAAAAATAGAGCGGCAACGGGGGCGATCAAAGCGAAAGAAAAGTAGGCAAGAAGCCCGAGAGAAAAAAGAATGATCGAGTGCATTATCTGGCGAGGATTTTCGCGGGCGTTCAAATCACTCCGGGCGCAACGACGGCGGCGCGGGCGCCTCGGCCGAGAGAGGCTGCAGGCCAAGGAAAGCGAGTGTGAGAGCGAAACCAAGTTCGAATAATGGACGTAATGGGCCAAATGGCATTTTCAATTAAGACTGACCAATTAGTCGCGTTGAAATTCACCCGGGAGCCGCCTCCTCTCGGCCGACGTCTTTGTCGCAGCCGCGTTATATACTTGCAGCAATCTCGTAAATCTCGTAAATTGGACCCATAGCCTCTTTTGTTTTTCGCTTCTCAAGCATTTGTTTGATGCGATTATCATTCCTTTTCTTCCATCTCTCTCTCCCTCTCTCTCTCTCGCGTCTCCGGCTTATTAGTTTTGCCTGGGCTCCCTTCAAACTTGTTAGCATTTAATTTGATGAGAAATCTGGGCGATCGAAACGATCCGGGAAGTTTGGTTGTTGTTGTTGTTGTCGTCGTCGTCGTGCTCGAATGCAGCTTGACCGGGCTCGCATGGACGCGGCAAAAGTTGGAAAATAATTTCCCAGCAGCAATACGCGTATCGACAGGGGGGGGGGGGGGCTGGAAGGCCGAGTAAACGCTCGACTGCGGGCATAAATAAGCTTATCTGCATGGGTGTCTAGCGGGTGCACTGTGGGTCCTCGTTCCATCAGCGCTCTCGGACTTTCAGGCGCAGAGCGCCAGAGCGGGGCTCGGAGAGAAAGGCGGCGGGATGAATAGACCGACACTGGCTGGATGCCAGACAGCAAGTAACTTATTATATCTGGCATTAAATTATTATGGAGGCCGACACGGGCACGGGCGAGTGCATAGGAAGCCATTAAGCCCGACGACACGCCACGTACGCGCGCTCTGCTGATTGTCCGGTTGGTTCAGCAGCCTTAGGAGACGGCGATCGACTCGGGGAAAAGGGAAGCGAACATAGCGAATAGCGCGGCAAGTTCGGATATTCGGATGAGCGAAGCGGAGGGGGCCGAGGAAATCCACTTAACTTGTTGCGCTGAGATTTGCGGCGAGTCGCGAGCGCGCCCGTCAAATTGATTTTAAAACTAAAGCCCGCTTAATTCCATGCAAACGAGGCTTGGCAAGTTGGGCTAGATCAATTGCAGATGGTGATGTGCTTCCGCGCCCAGCTGCAAGCCCCGGCCGCCAGGCTCAGACATTATAATTACAGCAATTTAAATTCAATAATTTTGGTGTTTCGCCAGTCGGCGACAAAGCAGCACTGGGCTGAGGAGGTGGTAAAGTGGGCTCGGCTATGAGCTGCAGCTGCATAGCCGTGCAGCTGTTCTGCGAATTAGCATACTAAACTTTATCGCCAACAGCCCGACAAAGACGTGCCAGGACGGCTCAACTAATTTCGAAGATAGAATAAGTTTCGCCCGCGTTCCGCCGCCACCGCCGCCGACGACGACGATCTACGAGCCGAGTGCGCCACGGCGCGCAGCGCCGCCGCTTGTTCCGTCTCTGCACCAAAGACGCGCCCGGCTAGCGGCAGTCGGAGCGCGAGAGCACCTCGTCTCCTCATTCAGCTAATTAGATTAATCAATTGATATGTCTTGTGTGTTTCTCCAGCATTACTCCTCAAAACTATTTTCTCGGCACGTTTAATTAATTCCCCAGTCCTCCATCCTCCCTGGAACTGCAAACAAGATTATACTCACGGCCGCGCGCAAACTGACAAGGCGTCGCATTTATTCATTCAGCGGCACCCCTTTCCGCCCGACTCCACGGCCCAACTATTACTCACCTATCGGCTTAATGTTGCTACTTGGAATTTCCTTGCAAACAGTTTCCTGGATATTCCTTTGAACTATGCGCTGAATTGTTTTCTGCGCGGCTTAAAATTTTTATCGAAATTACATTCATCCCGTGCCAAGCTCCAGCATAAATTGCATATACATGGAATATTTTCTGCTCGAGCTTTTATTAAGAAACTTTCCGAGTCTCTTTCGGCTTTAATAAGTAAAGTATTTGTTCGAAACCGATACAGCTGAATCTTTTAATTTACGGCAAATATCGATTAGCAAGGGCGTCCCAACTTCTTATACCTTTTTACGATATGCCTGCCTTTATTTTTATTAAAATCCCACACAGCGCGTTCACTTTCATGCTGCAACTCCCATAAGAATTCTCAGAGGAACAAGTTCGAAAAGAAAGCTCGACTCTACCTGATTATTAAGGTACTAGTCGGAATAATTTACAGTAAACGAGCGCAATAATAGCGAAGGATTGCATTTCCTGCTAGTTTGGAAAGCAAAATGGGAGCTTAAACATTCTTCAAGCTATTTTGCAAGCCAGAAAAAAGCATTTGTATTCCATTTTCGTTGCGAGAGCTTTCTTTTGTTTCACTTCCTCTGCATGTATAACTTTGTGCATTGACTTGTACAACTTTTCTACAGATCCCTTTTGTTCAAAATTTCGTTTTCCTCCCACGATTGCGCTAACAACAGATCATCTTTATTAGCTCATTTTATCATATGCTACAACTTATTTCTCATAGTATTCAAATCTCTTTTCTAAATTCATTCTTTTTTAAATAGACGAATATTTTTAAATACGCGAGTTTCACTTAATTTTCATTCAACGAAGGTCAATTTATTACAATGCAATAGATCCGTTATAGAACGTTCAAATACCGGTATAAGATTACGTATTTAAATCAATTTCTGCTTGTGACTAATATACTCTGAATTCTGTTAGGACGATATACGTGTAATGCTATCAAACTAATTACGCGTGTAAAGGATTTATATTTGAAACTTTTAAATTGTAAATAGAATTAAATTTTCAAATCATGTCTAATATTTGATCTAATGATAAAAGGTTCTAAGATCTATTTTGTTCATCGTTATAACTACTTTTCAAAATTTGATGAAAACACACGGCTTAAATAATTGAAAACAACTATTATCGATTGCTATTGCTATACATCAAATTTTCTACCTAATGATTCTTAAGATAGTTAGTTTTTGTAGGAAACAATAAACTGCTTATTGTTAATATTTATTTTTTCGGAAATAAGTTATAATGAAAAAAAAAAAATTTTCTTTGATTTTGATGCAATCATTATTTTGAATTCAACTATCACATATCGTATTAATTATTTGAAAGATAATTACGTAAATACGACTTATTTTCTTAATAAATTTAACACATCGTAATCGCATGTAAATCAAATGCACCTTAAATATCTACTTGGAATTGATATGTCAATTGACTAACGGATATGTTTGCAATATTTGTTAAATGATGAAATGATGAGACTTTGCCTGTCCCCAAGACTTATTTTTCAACTTTCCACCTAAGATGCAAATATTCTATCAGAGAAATTTCGAGTTGTTAGGCGTTTCATCAATAACCCAATACCCCATTTCATCCCTACCACAAAGATTCGTAATGTTAATTGTTTATCTTTGAATTTTTTGCTAAAAACTTACGAAAAATGATAAATTAAGTTTTTTAAAGTTAAAATTTGGACTCAGAATAAATCTAATCACGCATATAAGAATTCGAGTACGTTTACGAATGCAAAATTTTCAATTTTTACTTTTTTTCCCGTTGTTGTTGTTAAAAAAGTGATAAAAAAATATGTTCCACTGAATAGGAGTTTTTAAGCCGGTAAGGTCATTTTACCAACAAATTATAGGAAATGTGAGAAGTATGAGCAATCGATTTTCTGAATTAACACTTGACTAAGTAAAATTTCAAAACAAAAAGTTTGATTTCACCATCCTTCATAATAGAGAATCTTATATTCACTATATATATATATATGTAGAATATATCCATCTTTACTGTATGATATACAATATATAATACAGTTAAACATGCTGGAGCAGTTAGCATCGAATTATGAATATTCCAATTTCTGCATCTCAAAATTTGATATTTTAGAATGTTAGAAAAGTATATATTTATTAAAAAAAAATAGATTATCAATAACATCTCTTTAAAGAATGTCGCTAGCATAATTAAATAATAGTTTCTAATTTTGTGAGCATCGAATTTCGCATATTTAAATTCGTTCTTATTCAAACATCAAATGGTAATACGGTCGAAATTAAATTTGTTTCGTTTTACAAATGCAAATTGCAATCTGTACTTCGATTATATTATGCGTGCTTCGATTGTATTATGAGTAATTTAAATTATATGGTCAAAATATTTTTTATCATAATGATTTGGTGAAAATATCATTTTATTTTATTTAAAAATCCCATACTGATAAAATAAATACAGAAAATTAAAAAATAATTATTTAAACAGCACTGAAAAAACGTCATACATACATTTTAACGGATAAACAATAAAGAATATAAGATTAGAGCTATTGTCTATAATACATACTTAAATATAAATATATGTTTAAAGCCGCTTCATCTTTCTTATACACTAATTTAATACAAAGTGCATTACGTATTCTGATTTATAATCGAGTTTATTATAAATGCATTACTCACTGAGAATATTAAATAATCAATGATAAATATTGGAGTAACGTTAGCTGTGTAGTACGGTGACTCCATCTAAAGAGTAGTAGTTCAACTTAACTCAGGTATAGAGGTATATTTAAGAAGGTAAAGAGGTTGTTATGATTGATAAATAAAATTGATAACCAATGAATACATTCAATTGTTTTTTTTCCTTTGTATATCCTGTATAACTACGAAACATTTATATGTTGAACGTGTTTTTTGAACGTTTGCCAATATGGATGAGGCATATTTAAAATCTTTCCATTCATCTAAATTTCCGTGATTTAATATTAATGTCGTAAAATCAAAATTATTAGTTCCAATAGCGATGGTTGGTATAGAAATACTGCAGAAAAATCAGCCACATTATTTACCTGGGTAAGTCGTCTATTTTATTGTTAATTCTGTCACGATGAAGAAGATTCTCAAACTTAACACTTTTCTCATTTTAACAAAACAATAATTATTGCGTTTTGGCTATGTTTGCTACCTAATATCCTAGGTATACAGGATATTGTCCACAAAATCGATTTATTTGTGGCGATAGTTATGCGAATGCAAGTCATCAACTTTTACTCGATCCAATGGTTAATCATGCGGACAAACTTGTATTAACCGATAATACTAAAAATTATGAGGTAGAAATGGACTGATTTGAGCGTTATATCTGAAGGATATGTGTAATTTAAGCGTTTCTCGCTATCCTTGTGCCAGGTGACCAAACCAAAAAAGCGCGATATCAAAACAGTAAATTCAAGATTCCATAAAAAACGGCCTATTTACAAGCACCCAATGCTGTCAAGTTACGACGGTGCGAAAACAAATTTTTCATTGTCCAATCTCTATAACTTGATAATTAATCGATGATGTTATTTCATTGCAGGATTCATACCAAACTTAGATGATTTAAAAGATAAACCATTTGGAGCACACGCCACAGAAGGTATCGCAGCTTTTGAAAGACAGCAATTAAAGCGAAAAGCATCGCGTGATTGCTTAAAACAAACTTTGGCATTACAAAGTGGCCGTATACATCTCAAAAATATGGAAGATCAATTGGTGGGTATTCCAATGATTAATTAATGGATCAAACTAATAAAGAATCCATTCATTTTTTTTAGCTACTTCAAAATAAGTCCAAATTGCCGTTGACAGAGCTTCGGCCAGAACGTATTGGCATAGAAAAAAATTATTTTATTGATGAAACGTCTATTAAGACCAAGGATCACAATGCGTCGCCATATTTTATGGGAAACACGGATCCTCAAAAATATTTTATAAGTGGTAATTACTTAGTTATATAAAAATTCTTCGTTCGCGAGTCATAAATGTAAAAAAATTACGTACAGGTGTTAATTTCGTTGTTCGTCTTAAAATTAATTTTTTTCAAAAGCAATATTTTTTATTTTTTCTGTAGGTTACACTGGTTATGTTCCTAACAGTCCTGCACATTTTGGAAAACCTTTTAAAAGAATGAGCACCGATGGATTACGAGATTTCACATCTCATTATTTGAATAAAAAAAGAGTTGAATGGGTTCCTCTTATTATTCCTAGTAAAAAAACAGAAACATTGAGTATCCCCACGAAGATTTATCAAATTCATTTGAAAGATACACCTCTCATGCCTAGTTATACTGGACACGTTCCGGGTATTAAATACGAGTAAGATATTTTATTTTATTTGATCAATTTTAAATTGTCTGTATAACTTCAGACTAAAAGTACTATTTTAATTTAATTTTTTTTCTGTAGAATTGGCAAAACATATGGATACTTATCAAAAAATGCAAATCAATACATACAAGATCAACTTTTTTCATTAGCTATAAGGAAATGTTACAAATAAAAATAAAGTAATAAAATCACAAAAAAATCTGTACTTATTTCAAAGTAGTTTCGAATATTATTTGTCATTTTTTATATCATAATTTCAGAAATGACACTATATATATATATATATATATATATATATATATATATATATATATATATATATATATATATATATGTGACGTAAACAATCAAAAATCAATCTGATTTGATAAGTATATAAAATATATTACATTGTATAAAATGTGGAAAAAATGTTTAACATCTGTACAAATATACAATATTGTCTATCTCTGAGGCTGTTTTTATTTCCGTTGTTTAACTTTTCTTTTATCCGAATGAGCTTTATTGTTTGGTCTTCCATTTCATTAAAATATCAGCGGCCTTTCGAAGATTTTCATCTTTCTAAAAGTAGATAAAATTGTTATTGATTAGTGTTACTGCAATTCAATTCAAGAAATATGCACAATCTACCTTGATAAAACAGTAACGAACGTTATCCTCGCCTAAATGTTTATGTGCATCGCTGTAAAAAGCCGATGGAGGAATGCCTTGAACTCCAACATTTTTTGTCATCCATTTAGTAAATTTATAGTCTTTATAAATATCTGTTTCTTCATCAAGATTAACTTTATCTGCTAATGCAGTCCAATTAGCTACCATGAAATATCCTCCTTCTGGTAATGTGGGAGACATACCAACTTCAGTTAAAAATTTTACCATGTAATCTCTTTTTGGCAATAATTCTTCTGCTAAACTAGTAAAATAGCAGTCTGGCTGTCCAAATCTTTTAAATTCTTCTTCAAACCCTATAGCAACAGCTTCCTATAAATTAAAGCGCAAATTGATATAAATTTTTCATCAAATTATATTAATAAACATATAATACACACTTGAATTGGCGTTGGACAAGTATACACTGTATTTTGATGAACAACTTGCAAGTTTTTTAATAAATTGGTTGGTCCATATGCCCATCCAATTTTCCAACCAGTTACACTGAATGTTTTACCCGCAGATCCAATAGTAATAGTTCTTTCATACATATCAGGCAATGTAGCTGGAAGCAACCAAGTTACACATTTTATTAACTTTATAACAGAATACGACAAGGCATTCAAATTACCCATTCGAATATGTTCATATGGTTTATAAACCATCCACTCATAAACTTCATCAGAAACTACAAGGGTATTCCATTTTTTAGCAAGGTCAGCAATGAATTGTAATTCATCAAGGGTAAAAACCTTGCCAACTGGATTGTGTGGAGTATTTACAATGATGCCTTTTGTCTTTTTATTGAATAAGCTTGCCATTTCCTGTCTATCAAATATCCAATTTCCAGATGTAATTTGACCACTGGTTTTTATCTAAAATATAGAATTTTATTAATTTCTAGTAAATTTATTGATTGTTATTGTTCAAAAAAGTTTAAAATAATACTGGTTTTAATGCAATAAATTTTGGAACTCCTCCAGCCATTCTTATCATTGGTTCATAGCAATCAAAAAATGGTTCAATGATAACCCACTCATCTCCAGGAGAAGTATGACCTTGTAAAGCAGCATAAAGAGCTTCATAAGCTCCACTAGTTACAATTATTTCATTATTTGGATCTAGTTTACGATTTAAGACTTTAGAATAAACTTTTGACAATGCATTTACCAATCTTGGATGTCCCTGCCAGATAAGAGAATTATGATTATATAATAATGCTTTATGACTTCTAGTATTTTCCTGATAACAAATTTTATACAATATGCCACAATTTGATGACTTGCTACTATTTCAAGAAAAACATATTTTATATAAAACTTTTGAATTGTAAGGTGATACTTGCAAGTTATAAACTACTTATAATAAAATTAATTAAAACTAAATGTTCATAATATTAAGTTGGAATATTGCAGGAAACAAAAATTAAAAGTATATAATACTTACAAAACCTCTTGTATACTGATTCATTAATGGATTTTCACTTAGTGGTACACTGGATAAAGCTTTTCTAACATTTTCTGGAGCATGAAAATCAGGAAAGCCTTGTCCAAGATTCAGAGGATTATATTTCAATGCTAGTCCAATGTACTCAGTCCTACAATTGTAGTATAAAAAATAGATACAATAATAAAGATAATGTACAAAGCAATTCTTACATTCTGGTAGTTACTTACCACACTGACTTATCATTTCCTATAAAACGTTGAGGTAAATCGAATTTAGACATAGTTGAAACTTGGCAAATGGTTTCAAGAGTATTATTTAAAAATTGGACTTTTTTGACTGCTTTCAATATTGGTACCCTGGTCAACATCTAAGAGAAAATATGTTTTGTTTTTAAAAAGCATTTGTTATTGCAGTAATGTGATTACATACATACGTTACTTATAAATGATTCAGCAAGAATCAAGTGATAAAGTAACCTTTTCAATTAACCACAATAATAAAAAACTACACTGTATAGTATAGTTAAGTCTTGATTTTGATTACATTTGCTTTACAAATGAATTAAATTTATTAACATCACAAATGAAATATTAAAAGAATGCTTCACAATACACCAATATTGTTCCATATAACTTACATAATCAATTTTTCAATAAAAATTGAACAGGCAGGAAACTTGACTGAAGAAAATTAAATTAATTTAACAAAAGTGTTCACCCGAGAGTGAAAATTAATATAAATATTTTTATAGAGCAAACACGACCAGCTGCTTTAACCGCCAAAACACAACTGACTCAGAGAGGACTCGATACGCACACGGCTGATTTATTATAGTTTTGATTTCAACAGGTTGTAATTATTTTTTTTTGTCAGAAAAAATGATAATGTAGATGAAACCCATTGAAATGTATTTGAAATAAATTTGCATATTTTTACGCGCAACAAATTTTGACAATTTTTTATTTATCGGGATCTAAACATATAGTATACTTATTCTTGAACAAAATATCTTTTCACTTTTAATAGTAAAATATATTACTTCTAAGTTATACATTAACAATATCATAATTAACAGAAATAAACATAAATTTCAATTATAAGTTTCATATGTAAAAGTACTTTTCATTATATAGGATGTAAACTTGAATTTTAACTTCTAAAAAATTATATTTTTTGTTTATTCAAATTTTTCTGTAAAATTATTTGTTTAGTAAATTTTTTGATCAGCAAACAAAACGACTAAAGAAATAAAATTAAAAAACTAAGCGTTCCACATTAAAGATAGCTATTTTAAAGGCAAGACTGAAGGAACAATGAATGATGGAATGAACATGGAATATGAATATTGGACTGTAAAGCAAGCATTTATTGCAAGAACATGAGCCACGAGCCTGTTCAGACTGTACTGTTAGTCTAGTACTAGAAGAGAGAGAAAGAGAGAGAGTGAGAGAGAGAGAGAGACAGACAGAGAGAACGAGGCAGAGCGCATGCATGTGTGCGTGCGCATATAGCATCATAGAGTTTTATACAGCGTTGAGTGCTTTTTCATTTCAAGACTAAAAGTAATTTCGAATTGCAAGGACAAGATTTTGATCTATACTCTAACTATTTGCAACAAACGCTGTTTGTGTCAAGTGAAACGAGTAATAAAAACTGGAGCAACGGTACATCTGAAGTTTGCTATATCCGAATCATCTGGACTTAGTTGGGGTTTGCTGATCAGTGTCGCAGTTACAGCGGCGCTCTGTAAGTACGAAGTATTGAAATCAGTGATATTGGCTGTGTCGCGAATCATCTTATATTATATATAGGTCCTTTAGTACCTATACGTGTCGTGTAAGAGCTAGTCTCATTGCATAGGTGTGTGTGAGTAAAAGGAGAGAAGGAGGTGTTGTGCGTCTGAGGGGAGTGCGCAGAGAGAGATAGAGTAAGAGAGAAAGAGAAAGAGCGAGACCGAAACGAACGGACGATCCGACAACGAGGAATCGTGTATCTACGTAGCCGTGGCACTCGGGCGAACCAGTGTGGCAGTGTACGACAGTGCGAGCTGCTGGCGACGCGCGCGCGCGTGTGTATGTGCTCTGGCTTGGAACACGTCGTCGAGGACATCGTCGTTGTTGGCAAGTGGTGCGCGTGCAGGTGTATGAGTGATTGGGTGATAAGAAAGGAGTCGCGTTAACCCGCAACGTCGAGGAAATTATCAGCATCACGGGCATTCGCCAGTATCAGCATTATTAACAAGTTTAGCCAGGTCTCATCTTTCTCTCCTTCTCCCTATTTCGTTCCGTCTCTCTCTCTCTCTCTCTCTCTCGCTCTCTCTTGTTCTTTTTCTCTCGCTTTCTGTGTTGTCCACTGAAAGGGCCGCCACCGCCTTGTTCATTCTGGAGCTCTCAGTGGCCGAACACAGCTTATCTTGAGGACCTCAACCGTATAATTGAACTTGCCTATACCTAGTTCAACTCATTACTTGTATAAGTGCAAGGTATTTCTCTTGTAGACTTGCAGTGCTTGTTTGTCCGTCAATACGCCTGTGACGGTGAATCATCTCTCTGTTTGGCGGCTGCTTTGTGTACGTGGAGGCTGTGTGTGTATAACTGAGGTGTGTGTGTATATATGTGCGTGCGTATCGTGACAGTGGCGCCCATACAATGGAGCTCCTCTTTGGAGTTGTTCATCTACGGGGCGGATACAGCTGTTTTTTATTCTCTGGCTACTGTTGTTTCTGGTTTCTGGAAAAGAAAATGGAAAAGGCATCCGGCGGAATGAGAAAGTGGTGCGGCAGCATTCTAACGCAAGTGGGATAATCGCACTCCTCTCCTTACTTGCGAGTGAAATATGTAGATATTGGCATTGGCTTCTCTCTGTCGATAGTGCGCTAACCGAGGCGGTGATGTCTGTATGTGTGCATGAGTTGATGATCTTGCGCGAGAATGCACGAGTGTCAAAGTTATCGTGTAAGTAGTACTGGCTGAAGAATAGGTTAGAGGCAGAAATTCTGCCAATTCTTTTGAATTGTACACGTGATTACGAGGAGCAAGATAAAGGTAGATGTTCGGGCAAATACGTTGCTACATGATAGGTACAAGTTGCTTTCATGCGCAGTCTTTCGCAAGTCACCTGTTTCCATCCTGCACGGCAATCTCTCTCACCAATATCAATCTGTATGGGTTTCTGTCTGGGTATAGATAGATATTAATGCGACACGGCGCACTTTGCTTTTCTTGCCGGCGCTGCTGGAAAACCTCAAGTAGTATTCGTAAGATCGCACGAATCGCCTAGCTTATCGCGCTTTTATACAATCTGTCTGAAGATTGCTTGCTCTTTCTTAACAGTGCGAAAATTCCACCGAAAGATGCGTAACGTTTTGTTGTTTTTTGCTCTCTCCAAACAACGAATAACTGCGTGACACGATTGATCTACTCGAAAATGATATTACTCATATCCAAGTTTATTCGCATTGTCGAACATGAAAGGATTCTTATGTTGATAAGAGATCTGGTTTTATTTTCAAATTTCTCGAATTATATTTCGATTTCTATTCAAGGCAGCATGAATAAAACTCTGCTGAACATATTCATGATCAACATCGCTTTGGCGATGGCAATATTCTGGAATTCACGCCGCTACGAAGTGTTGTGAGTCGTGTGCCAAACAGCTACTACAAAAGTCATACAATAATTTTTCATCGCATTTGCATTGCGAAATGTTGAAAATGAATTTTTATCATTCGCGAGTATTTCTTTTTTGTGATTGAATAATTGTCCGTGTGCGTTATTTACGTTACAAGTAGATAAAAGCACGAGTTTTAATCTCAATATCAACTGCAGTAAAAAGATATTATTTAAGAAAAAAAAACGCTAAGGTTAAAGTATAATAATGAAAAAGGTGAATGGCTCTGAGGTACTTTCAAATACCGAATATAATTAAGTAATAACGTTATTACCTGATGTGGTTATCCAGTAAACATGCAAATTCGGTTAGTCCCTAATGGCTCACTGGTAAAGATCTGCGACTGTAATCTCTAATCGTAAGCTCTCAGCCGATCATCGAGTCCATTCAATAATTACTTGCAAATAACACGAAAAGAAATACTTAGAATTTGACGATTACTCTCGATAAATTTATAGTCGTGGAATCTTGGATAGTGATCGGGAGTTTTTATTGCTACTGTAGACATGTGTTAAAGGTATATGAGCGCGTTTTATAATTGGAGAACTGATAAGACGTATGTATGTATAGGTGTGTATAACGGGTAGAACACTGAATGAATGAACGGCGGATAGAGCGGGAGAGTGAGGCACCAGTTATGCGTGGCACTTTAAGTGATACTTGTTTCAGTCATTGTGATCCGGTAATTTAGTGGCTTTAATCCGCATAAACAAACTCATTAAAGAGCAACGATCAAGAAGAAAATATTTTACTCGTTGTTTTCTTATGTCTTTCTGCTTCGACATTGAAAGCGTGCACTGATAGTCATTATAGTTACAAGACGATGAGCAAAGCATGACAGAAGACAATAAAATAAAAATGTACTCATAAAGACGCAGGCAGAGCTAGAGATAAGGGATAAAAAGGATAAAAATAGACGTTAAGAAATGCAGACTTGGCGCTCGAGCACAAAGAGATAAGGGGAGTCACGGGCGGAAAATTCAACTTGGTAGATACCGAAAATTGGTATTGAGTTTGTAAATCGCTGGTCGTGTCAATAATGGCGAAATCGAGATTCAGCTGCTGCTGTCACGCGCTTCTTGTGCTGTTTTTTAAAATGGTTTTCGAGTTTGCGCGCGCGGTGGACAAGGACGGACGACAAAATGGAATTTCCGCGATGGAGCGGGATGGCAGGATGACGAGGACGGCGGCGGCCACTGGCGGAAGGTGGGAGCGCGCCGCGTTGGAAGGGGTAACACCGTAAACAGTCCGCGTCCGGAAAGCACCGAAGCTCTCTTCAGTGTCATAAACAGAATCTTTCGCGAAAAAGACTTCACCGTAGTTTGCTCATTGAAGTCGCTGTCACGCGAGAATCCTGCAATCGATACCGATTATCGTTAATAATCAAGTAGGCAAATCGATGAGTGAGTGCCGTATTTCCGTTATCAGCTGGAATTTCCTTGCGTCGTAGTTAAATTTTCGGTGAATAATTTGAAGCAGCCAGCCAGACGAGCTCAATGATGATTCGTCACCCATAAGCTATTATGTAGCTGCTCGAATTGCTGTTTCGTTGAGTTGCATTATCGCGAAAACGCGAGTGCTTGACGTCTACTGGTATAATTTTACCGCGGCGGGGGCGGCGACAAGTACACATAGAGCCTCTTTCTCTCTCGCTCATTCGGCCGCACCGCACGCGTTCAGTGTCGACCTGTCAGTTGTAGGTGTATAGGTACCAAGTGTATAGGTTCGTGTATAGTCAGTTTATACGAATGACGGACGACGGCACTTTTGATGATCGAGTGCAGTAAAAGAGATGGAGACAGTTAGATAAATGAACTGGAAAACTATACGTCGTGCAGTGTATCTTGTCCGAACAACTGTACACCGCGTTGTTGCCATTCAGCGATTAAGCTTTTCTTGTTGATCACTGTTCAGCAACAGAACGGAGCTTTCTAGCTGTTGCTTATGTATACAAAGCTCTAACGCATACACTTGATTCTTCTGTGTGGCATACGTAACAGTGAGTAAAATCCATTAATTATTAGTGGGAGGATACATTCCTAACCTCTACACCAACTACTGTCTGTCTTTGTGTGTCGAATCTTCGCTCGCATCTTCTACGTCGTGAATATTGCAAGGGGGCGGTTTCATTTACATTCACGCGTTTACCTATCCGTACATGAAGATCAATTTGTTTATTCGACGCAATACTCATGAATTTTTTAGTTATTACACAGCGACTTGGAGCTGTTCACTGTATTGTCTGGTATGATAACAATTGTTTGATTTTCTCTTCTATTTATGATAAATCTCAAAAATTCGTGGATTTCTTGTGTTTGTTCAACTTTTTAATTACTTTTTGCTAAATTTTTACCGCGTATTATTATTACTATTATTTGTAATAGTGACAGCATTCGAGAATGAGACATGAGTATAGAAAGAGAGAGAGAGAGAGAGAGAGAGAGAGAGAGAGAGAGAGAGAGAGAGAGAGAGAGAGACCCGCACATTGATAGTGCTCGTGATTCCGGCAAAGGACTGATATATATTTTGTAAATGCAGAGAGGCTCAAAAATACACTAATAAAATTAGGAGATTAACAGCGCTGTGCTGTGTTTGTTTTTGCGTTATTTATAGGCCATTTATTATCAATAATAATATCCCTTTTTATAGATATATAATCTTTTTGTCTGTTCTATTTCCTTATATTAATTATGCATTCTATTTCTGTGTACTGCAAACTTATTTTCCTTCAGTTATTTTTACGAAATTTCTCTGTTTATGTTGCTACAAATAAGCATTTTATCTAGAATACATTTCAACATAAATAGACCGTTATCTTATTTCATAAAGTTTTGGCAGATCTGCTCCGTTAAACAATGCAGGCAGTAATTTTGATTCTATTTTACTTTATGCCATTGTGAGATATCTCACAAAAATTTGACAAAGCTATGAATGTTGAAGTTCCTGTATAATTAACTTACAATTCTTAATATTTTAGGTCACCATGGCTAACCGGGGTACAGCCCAAAGACCAAATGGTACACAAGGCAAAATATGTCAGTTCAAGCTAGTATTACTGGGTGAATCTGCTGTTGGGAAGTCAAGCCTTGTGTTGAGGTTTGTCAAAGGTCAATTTCATGAGTATCAAGAAAGTACAATCGGAGGTAAGAAAAATATTGTTAAATTTCTGGATGACATAGAATTTTGATTATTTAATTTTATTTAATTTATATATATATATATTAATAATATTAAATTTATTACATTTAATAAATTTTTTACAGCTGCATTTTTGACACAAACTGTTTGTTTGGATGAGACAACTGTAAAGTTTGAGATTTGGGATACTGCAGGACAAGAGCGTTACCATAGCCTTGCTCCAATGTATTATCGTGGAGCACAGGCAGCCATTGTTGTTTATGACATAACGAATCAGGTAAGTTAAGCAATGCTTTGTTGAAAAAACAATCATTTCTGTATTTTCTTTCCACAAAGAAATTAAAAAGATTTATATATATATATCAACAAGTAATCTACATCTTAAGCATATTTTGTAAAATGTTTTCAATGCAAAATTTGGATTCAGCACTTACTAATTCGATTTTACAAAAACAATCAGTCTTATTCAGTCTTATATCAGTCTTATATCAGTGAATATTCAGCTGATCAATTTGTTTTTGTAATTCAATTCTTATCAACTAAGCACTTATACTCTTTTATTAACACAGGACACATTTATGCGTGCGACAACGTGGGTGAAAGAGTTGCAAAGACAAGCCAGCCCGAGTATAGTGATCGCATTGGCAGGAAATAAGGCCGACCTCGGAAACAAACGCGTCGTTGAATTTGAAGAAGCTCAGGCTTATGCAGACGAAAATGGCCTCCTATTCATGGAAACATCGGCTAAGACAGCGATGAACGTCAACGATATATTCCTTGCTATTGGTAAATATTCTTTCTGTAAATAATTCAAATTTTACTAGTATAGTCTTACTAAAAGTCATGATGCATTATCCAAGAAAACGTAGTAATGTTTTTATGACCGAGTATTTCAGTAAAACTTCTTTTGGAATTGACGTACTCTCGCAAATTTTTATAAAAGTTAACAACTATTCTTTTACAGCTAAAAAACTTCCAAAGAATGAGCAAGCAGGAAACGCGAGTACAAGTGGACAAGGACGTCGACTAGTCGAAACGGATGGGCAAAAGCCAGCCTCCAGCAACTGCTGCAAGTGATTAACCAAATCCGTATGTGTTGCACACACTAAATTGGTATCTATTTTTGCAGTAGTTAAATTTATGCTCCTATAAATGAATTGATCGAAGAGACCACTGGAAAATGAGCCTGATGTCAGTTTTTGATGGCTCGATTGAGGTTCGCGATTAATATCGTGATGTGTTTCTTTGTACGCCGTTTACGTATATTTTTATAATGGACAATGGTAGACGAAATCACTTTTCGAATGCTTAAGCTGTGCATTTATATCCTGTTTTAAGAATCTGAATTTTTCATTAGTATAAAATAATATACAAAAAAAACAAATAAATCTATAAAAATAACGAAAACCAGCAAAGTTTCTAAAAATACAATATTTCGTATTGGTATTGCTGAGTAGAAATTGTAAATGTTAATTATATTACGTTTATTAATGTATTTATAGTTTTTGACATAAACGAAAAATCCTCTGTTTTACAAATAATCACAATGATTTTTTATCAAATTGCTCGCTATTTTTTCACTTTCATTACTATTGTAATAATTTTTTTATTAGAAGTAGAATCGGTAGAGGAATAAGTTTGAAAATAATGCTCACTCTGAATGAAATAAATTGTTATATAATGTATTTGATTTTATGTGAAAAGAATAAATCAATGAATCTAGGAATTTTTAAACGTAAGAGTCTGCATGCAAGATCATGTTGCATATTAAGTTGGATCTTTCTCAAATAAGCGGATGTTTATGTATAGTAAAAAGTGCACGCAATTTCTATTGTAAACGACACTTACAATCTGCATATTTGTTGTTGATCAATTAATTATTGGATAAAATTATTTCTGATTGTTTATTTTCTTTCCTCCGTCCTGATGTAATGTATTTAAAGCAAAAGTACCAATGATTTTGTATTCTTAATTCATTTGTAGCTTGCTAAAATGAAATTAAATTTTTATTTATCAAGACACGTTCCATGCATTTTCTATTTTCTGGCTATTGTTTTTACATTTTAATATAAATAATGATTCAATGGATACAGGTATTAAAATTATATTTTCGTATTAGTATGGTAAGTATAAAAATGGATATGATATCTTATTCAAAATTTTGCCATTTAATTTGCTATACTGACGATTTTGAGTACAAACTCATATAATGAAAAACTAATTTATATTGTGTTAGTAACAAAACAGCACCATCAACGTAGATAACTTAAGCTTTTAGAATTGTCTTGGTTATTAAAACTATAGTAATCCGTAAAATAACTAATATATTTCATTTTTCGATAAAAATTTTTAATCTAAATTAACTAGTAATATTGTTATTAATTGGAAACGTTTCTGTTTGATTTCAGATGTGTACCATAATCAAGAGAAGTAAATACATCATAATTGTGTCCAAAAAGAAACTAAATGGATTGTACACCGAAAAAAACTTCAGAAAGTGGTAGGAGGTGAAAGATGTGTAATGAACAATTGTTAATTGTGTGATTGAGAATGATAAACGCGCGTACAATTAATGCGATTCGACGATGTCACTTTTTTTGAAGGGCATAGAGTAATGGTTTGCAAAAATCGCGCAGACGCAGAACTCCTGTTTGTAATTTTAGTAGCGAAAAAGTTGGGCGGTGTTCGTTATATAAATATATAAATATACAATAAGGTAAATCATATAGGTCATATGATTTGTGTACGAAGTAATAACATAATTATATCAGGAAAAAAATATAAGTATACATTTAAATATACTTGTGTATATGTGAATGCATACACACATGAATGGTAATATTACATTTTGGCACGTAAAACTTGTAAAATAGTGGAGGCCATTCCTGCTGCTATTACGAAGCATCTTTTTGATTTAAGCATCATACTGTGTATAACACTTTTACTCTATAATATATTGTATATTAATTTTATCGATTAAAAAATCATGAATTATAAATTATTATACAAAAAAAGAAAATAAACTTATGTATAATAAAAGTAATCAGCAGGCTTTAATTCAATTATATTTTTTTCTCGAGATCAACTTCAGATTGGTCATTGCTAATATTATGTGAATCTTTTCTGATATCAATGAGTGATATAATTTATCTCGTTTTTATTAATCATGAAAAAGGCGAGTGCCCAGTGCAATTGTTTGAAAAAAGTCATCAAAGATATAAGCCAAGAGTCGATTGAATCAAGCGATACCGTAATAAATGTACACAGAGATTTTTTGTCCGAAATCAATTTGGTTAAAAATCGATTATTTTTACCTAATAAATCGTCATCTGAACCCGATGTATATTACGCCGCGAATTACGATGACATTTGTGGACCTTGGCCATCATCTGATCATCCTTCATTACAAAAATACGATGATAATACGATTGAACCAATTATGTGTGCTTGGAAATTCATAAAAATTGAAGATATGCAATGCATAAAACAAAATTTGCTAGATAAAAATGTAGTCCAATCAATATTTGGTAATATTCTTTTATATGTTTTTGTAATAGTTGAGTTGGTAACATAATTTTTAATTTACTTCTTTTATATTCTAGAAAAACGACTTTCTGATAATATTATATTCAATTCTGAAAGCAAAGATTTATATTTTAATTTAATTTGGAAGATTTTTAATAATATGAGGTTCGTTCGTCTCCATTTAAATAAGTGATTCGAACATTTAATTATATTTAATTTCATTGTTATAATAAAAAACGTTAATCGAACGGATTAATTTTTTAGCGATCATAATTATTCTGCAAAAGGAATATCTTCGGTATTAGGTTTGATTCATTTGACACACCGATTCTTCCTTTCCGAATTCTGGCGTTCAGCTAATGAAACTTTCACATTTTTTAAAAAAGGCTTGAGTCTACATATACTTCTGGTCAGTTTTGATTTACTTATAATATATAAAAAAGCTTCAATTATATATTTCCTCTTAATATTGTAGAAATTACCAGAAAGTGATATGGTGTTCAATTTTTGTCAATACGATAAAATACTTGAAATGGTATGGTCGTTTTACATCACAAAATTGGAGCTTATACGTTTAGTATCTACTCCTAAATATAATTTGACGTATAAAATAATATAAAAGTGTAGCCATAGCAAAAGAATGGGTACATAAAATCTACGAGAAACGGAAAATTAAAGAAAACAACACGATGGTTTCTTTACAACTATGCTAAATGTATTTGTAAAAATATAATTACAAATATAAGTTTGTAAAAACTCTGTGTTTAAATTTATGCGATTGCATGTAAAAACATCCGTCATTTCTATGAAAAAAAATTGGTTTTAAAATGTACATATATAAACAATACAAAAAACATTGAAAACATTATTTGCTGCTTGACGTTTGATATCCTCCATCAGTCATATCATAGTGTACTACTTTTGCTATTGAAATATTTTCGTTGACTTGAGAACTTTGTGGTATTTCTTTCATTAAATATTCTAGAATAGGAAACCAATTATAATCTCCTTTAGTTACGATCTTATCCATTGTGCGGTATTTTGCTTCTGAACGTTTCTAATAAAAATTAAATGTATAATTAAGTAAAATAAAATGCTAGATCTACTATAAAATACATGTATAGAAAATAATAAAAAATATTTTACCCTCTTAAAACACGAACAAACTGCTTTTGATTGTTTTTGAGTCGTATTTTCATAAGCATATTTATTTCGAGTACTGTTATGACTAAACCTATATCTTGCTGCCTTTTCTGAATCTGAAGATTGTATACGGAGCATAGTGTCTGCTTGCCTGGAGATTGGTTTATGTATTAACTTTAATCTTTTTATTAGAATTTTATTTGCTCGTTTCAGTCGTCTCATGGCCGTCGTAAAATTTCTAAATGTGACAAGGTATAATAAGTTATTTTCTCAAGGTTGATTTATGATACATAAAGTTTAGAAAATTATTAAAATCAAAGAAGTCAGATTAAAGATATATTTTTATAGCAAATTATTTCCTCGGGAAATGAACATAATACTTTAGTTAGAAAGAAACTATTAGTGTAGATGCGTACTTCTTTTCAATACTAAGGTGCAATAGTTGCTCTTGTTTATCGTGCAATTTATTTTGTAAAACAGTTGTTGATTGTCTCTGTTGCCTCATCCAGACGCGAACCCATTCCAGTACGTACTTGGATTCCTCGCATACCTCGGATTTGCTCGCCTTCATTCTTTCGAGCTCTATAGATACGGCATCTAATGATTGTGCCTTAGTGTCGCATTCAGTTCTTAGGTCAACCAAAGATGATTGCATGTCTTCTAATTGTAATACAATATCTTCTAACTGAAATAAACAAAAAATATACGACTAAGCTGAACATTTACAAGCCAAGTATACCATTTTCAAATTAAAAAAATATTTAGTTACCTCTGCCATACACTTGTTATTATGCTCTTCAAGTAATTTGTTCTGACGTAATAAATCTTCATTCTTTTCGGTACAATTTTGAAATTTTTGCTGAAGAACTTGATGTTTTTTTTCGAGAAGCATTATTTCATCTTTCTGGCGTTGGCACTAAGGATAGATACACTGCTTTTTATTACACCGTCAAAATAATAATTTAAACAAATTATTTTATAAGAAAAATTTTCTTTTTCAACGCAATCAGGTGTTTTGGCACGAACAGTTCTTTATTCTTTTATAAAATCTCGGCATACTCGGAATATGTAGTTTGGAAAATTAGTCGTAATAAATAATATTGAGAAATGTATAATAAATCGATGTAATTTGTTTTCTAAAAAGGCTATGAATTCTACTCACAATGCGTTCAGAACTTTCGTTTTTACTTGTTAATGCATTAAACTTTGATTGAATTTCAGCTAGTGCAGCGGTTTTTGATGATAGATTCTCCTCTAAACTCGCCAATTTCTTTTCCACATCGTTACTTTTTATTCCTTCCAGGCTAGGACTATGAGTTTCCTAAAACACAGAATTGACAATATTGTTTTGATTTAATATGTTTGAGAGTAGGTACATACTAGCAGTAACATATACATTTGCTAAATTTTGTTGCACTGCTGCAAAACGTTTTTCACAATTATGTAAGTATTGGTTCAAATCTTGCGATAATTTATCATATTTTTTCTGGGATTCGTTTAGCTGACACTTTTTTTGAGCTAACTGAAAAAGTTTCAAATTATTATTCGCTCTTACAGATTATCTGAAGTACGTTTAAGATACTGATGTAGAATTTATAATACCTCGTGTTTTAAGTAGTCCAGTTCTGCCTTTAAAATTTTATTTTCATTCTAAACAAAAAGTATATAATGCGGTATAAAAGAAATTGTGTTTTTTCAAGTTTTGAGTTTAACAAAATTACCTTCATGATTAGATTATCACTCTTTAATTTCGTTATATATTCAAATTTATCCGTCAAGGTGATTTTCAAAGAATCAATATGAGCTCGTAAATCATAAATTGTTTCTTTTGAAACATGAAGATCAGAACAACAATTTTCGATGTGATGCTCATTGTAAAAAAGTCTTTCTTTCAAATTCTCTATTACTTGTATCTGCTTACCAATCAGATTTTCTCCACAAGACAATTTAGTATTTAGTCTTTTAATCTGCGATTTAGAAAAAGGTTATTGAAATTACTAACAGAGAGATTAGTTTATAAAATACCTTATCTTGTTGAATACAGATTTCATTTTGTAACTGTAAAATTTTCTGTTTATATTTTTCGCTCTGATTGTCTTTATTTAATTTTGATTCAAATAATTTACATTTTAAAAATTTATTCCCTCTTTTCAAGTCGTCGATCAACTGAAAAAATGAAAACGATCATTTCAAGTTAATACGACTGAATGTAAAATTGAAATTGTTATTTTAAACGCTGCAGAGATACACTAGGTATCAATACGCGTTAGTCTTGGTTCCCTGTAATCACAAGAGGCAACCAACCTCATTCATCACTTTTGAAGGGTGCAGGAGGACAATTTTTACATGCATCGTGACTAGACTTTTATAATTTAATATGGAATCAGAACCACCATATTGATGATAACAAGCATATGAAAATTTTTCACATGCTTGGGGCTAAAATTTATCAATCAAAGTGACTGAATAAATAAATATAAAAATACCTTTAAGTAACGTTCTTGATTCAGACGATACTGTATGTTTTCTGATGTCATAGATGACAATACTCCTCTGAATTTTTCAATCGACGAATTAATTACACCCATTTTCTTCATTTCTTGCTCTATCAAATCGAAATCAAGTTTATAAGTGTTTAATTGTTTTTTTAAATCGATATTTTCAGAAAGTAAAATATCTATTTGTTGTTGTTTTGTGGATGATTCTTTACGGGATTCTTCCGAATCGCATCTTAAATTATTATAAAACAGTCATTCCATTTATATCAATTATTAATAAGAGTAATGATTCAATAAAATGTATACCTTAACTTATCTACTTCTATTTTTGCTTCTTGATTCTCGCGTTCAAGATTAATACACTGATATTGATAACGATAGTTTTCATGTTCCAATTCGTTAATCTAAAAAACCGAAAGAGTTATAAAAAATTAGGAAAAGATTATTGTTTAGAATTGATATTTTAATAAGCACCTTATCTTTCATACCACTAAAATTTTGAACATGAATTTTCAATTCCTCCTGGAAATAAAAATTCTGTAAATGTATTATTTGTCGAGATATGAATATGTTATCTAAATACTATGATGAAATTTATAAATTGACTAATCGATAAAATAAATATTCTCAAAGACTAAAATATAATGATCTTAAATTTAGCAGATAATGAAGGCGAACTACATTGCTTTGTAAACTACTCAGTTTATTTTGAAGTCGGGAGCATATAATGCATACATATTTCATACTTCGCTACTAATACATAATATTACTAAAGTTAAATCATAAGGGAAGAATAGTATGTATTATAATTATGATTTCGCTCAAAACTTATCATTATAACATTTCCAGAATAGACCAACATTCATTACACCTCATTTATTCATAAATTATCAGACATACCTGGTACTTGAATAATATAACGTAATAAATTAAATGCAACATAGAGGCATTTAAAAACTCGCCGCACTCTAAAAACTGAATTTTGTTCTGTAGATTACAAATAGCATCACGTTGGAGTTCCAAGAGAGCATCTTGTGCACTTGCCTAAAATTTCAAATATCATAAATATAATGCGTCGAATGGTGTATCGAATAATAAAAAACTCCTAATTTCCTTACCTCACTAAAGCATTGATTGTACTGACTCTGAGTTTCAATGAGAAATGTGTTTAACGACTTTATTATGCGACTGCAGTGCAAATTCTAAAATGTATTTTCATTTAAGATGTTGTTTTAGGCAAAAGTTAATTTCCTTTACTAAGGAATATAACTTACTTGTCGTAATTATTCAAATCATGCAGAGTTGTTTTTGCTTTTGTTATTAAACTCACTATAAACTAATCACTTATTGGCACACCTGGTTAGTTAATATTATACAGAAAAATAAAAACTCAACATTAGAAATAAAAAAAATTCTTTAACAAGAAGGAAGTTATGAGATTTGTTAAAAAAAACCATGCTTGCCGATTAACTGCTGTAGTTTTCAAACGAAAACTGAACATGTTTTGATTACTATATACATCAAAATTAAAAATGCATATGTTACATTTACGAATATTGTATAAAGCAATCTGTTTCATTAAGTACACTTTTTCCTCTTTACTAATCACAACACCAAGAAATTTCGTTGTGCACTTCTCGTACTGAATGAATTACATTTCTATCTCTTGGTTTTATAAACAAACTAACACTTTTTTGTATACATTAAACATCGTGCACATTATTGTGACTAAAACTAGTAGAAGAAAGAGGAGTCCGAGGCTCACTCACATTTATGGCAACATTATTAGTCAATTGATCGATCGTTCTTTTAGCTTCAACAACAGCATTTTGTAAGTGCCCAATGGTTTGCATTTGTAATTCAACCTACATAAGCAAATTTAAAATTAGAAATATACCTAAAAACAAAATATTAGGGAATACATTATGAATATTAGGTAAATTGATTTTACTCTGGGATATATTTTTAATTGTTTTCATTATTCAAAAAAAACTGGATTGAAAGAAAAATGCAAAAAAAGAGAAATATTATGAAACGGGGCAAATAAAATCGTATACGTAACATGGATGGAAATAAAAAATGATTAAATCGCATGTGAATTACGGAGATATAATCAAAATATTTCGTTATTTTTCCATCCTAGATTAGTACATTACGATACAAGTGCGGGAAAGTCAATTTTTGTCTCGTGTGGCATTTACGCCCGAGCGAAGCGAAACGAGACGATGAACTCTTTCCCGAATATGTATCGTACAGTATTTTTTGATACGACGTGTGTCAAGCTCATTTTTCAATGCACATTTTTGGCCGAGTGTGCTGAAAGTACGTACTTTTCGCACGGAGTATTGAAAACGTAATATAATATTACAGATAATAAAATTCATATGGAAACAAACTAACTTGCTTGTAAAGTTGTCTTTTTTCTGTCTCGCATTTGAAAATCATCTTTTCTTGAACATTAATCTAGAAGAAATAATATTTTTCTTATAAAATATAACTGATTCCAAGATATGAAATGTTATTGACATTTCAACAAAATGTCTCATTTCAATTTGTTATTGACATTTCAACAAAATGTCTCATGAAAAATTGAATTAAATCTTTACCTTTTCTTGAAGAGTTTTATGTAAATTTTCTACCTCAGATTGAGATATCATAATGGAGTCTTTTTGTATTCTTATGATTTCATCCATGTTTTCCATCTAAAATCAATTCAATTCTTAATTAGAACATTTAATCAAAAATTTGAGGAAAATTACGAATTTGGAAACTTACTAATTTATCTTTTGAGTACATTGCAGCTTTTATTTTCTCTACTTCAAAGGAACAGTAATTAATACTTTTAGCGTGCTTTGTGAGGAGCTCCAATGCTACTGAGAGTGAGTCATCGGAACTATTCCTGACAGCTGGATTATGCGGTATCTGAAATTATTATTATAGAAATTAAATTAAATATTATCCTTTATGCAGATTCTTAAGCTAAAATTGTTAATTACCAGTCTTTTAAGTTTATCTCCAACTTCTCGTAGACTAATATTAATTATTTCAATAGTATCTTGTAATACTTTAAATAATTGAGGGATATTCTAAAAAATAAAGACATCGTGTTAAAAAAAAAACTGAATAATTTTTCAATGAGCCTTACTTGTAATTCGTGTTTTAGTGTATTTTCCTCTGATTCTTCCGTATTCTATTTGAAGAAAAGTAAAGTGGTCATTAAAAGAGATGTGTTTGATCAAAAATTGTTTATAATTTCAGGTTATATGTTTAAGTATACATACCAAATCTGTTTTGTTATTCAATGAACCTTCGTTAATACATGTTACATCACTTTGTACCTTTACCCAGTATAAAATAATAAAAAAAATAAAATAAAAGTTCGCACAGCATTAAATTTGATAAATCTTTCAATCGAACATACCGAATTTTGTAACTGGAAAATTATTTTTCTCAATTCCATGGTTTCTGTTGTTGCCGACTTACGATATTCTTCAAATTTTACACGAACAGATTCCAATTCTTTTTCTAAGTGTTCTATACTTTGTTTGAAGAAAATATTTGCCTCTTGTTTTAATTTTATCTGTAATTTTGTATGTGTAAATAATTTCTCAAGATCGATTTTATAAGAGTGTAAGTACATACTTCTTTTTGCAATAAATTTATTTGATCTTCTAAATCGACGATAGTATTATGCTGGTGTACGACATGCATATTATCTTGTTGACCAATAAAGGATTCCTAAACATATAATTAGTTTAAAAAATGTATAGTTATTGATTAATTATTTAGTAATTATACCTTATTTATTTTATATTTGAACTCCTCATATTCTTTTTGTAATTTTCTCAAGTCTTCTTTAACTTTTATTGTATCGTTTGTACACTATATTGATGTAAGTATATATCAACAATTTTATTATATCAATTTTATATAGTATCGATAAAAAATTTTATAATTGACAAACTACTAGTAAAGGTGGAATCATACCTTTGATGTGTCTCCACAATATTTTATACATTCAAACTCATTTATCTATAACATAAATCAAATAATTGATATTATAAAAATACTATTAGAATTAAATACGGATTGTAAATTACCTGATCTCTAATATTAACAATACTTTCAAGAGTATCTTGCATTTTCGTTTGACAACTATCGACTTCGCATTCATATTTTTCAAGTTTCTCAAATCGCACGGCAAATATATTTTGCGCCGTGTCATTATCTAATAACTAGAATTATATGCAATTTATTAAAGGAATTTGAAAAATATTTTTTATAGGATATAAAATATGTTGTTACTATTTGGTCAGAATTTTTTTTGAACTCCTTAATGTTCTGCTCCATAACAGCTAATTGCTTTTTTAGCTCTGACATTGTTGATAATGAACAACATCCTTGACTTTGGAAAATACCTAAGTTAGTAACTATTTGTTCTACTTCGTCTACGACTGAGATAAGTAGATTATTGCACTTATGGATTTTCATATAATCTAATAAATTATGTTTCTACAACATACAATACAAATTAATGTATATAGACTTTATAGGTATTTTTGTGTCTTATTTTATCAAACCTTGAATGATTTTTTGCTACATTATTAAGACTTATTATTTTATTTCTGCTTTTACCAAAACATTTCGTTACGAATTTTCGTTTTTGTATGAAACACGCGATTGTCAGATTATATGCAAAAATATGGTAAATTTGGTATAATGTAAATTAATTTATAATAATTTAGTCTTCGGGCTATTTATCCATTTGAAATCAGCATGCAAAAGATTGCAGTAGTAGATTTTTATATACATTCAAGTTTTGATAGAAAGCTTGAAAATTTACAAAAACTTGTAACATTTATTTGTCTTACTGGCATTTTACTGTCTACATCATTAAGGTACTTGGACGATTCTAACTGAAATTGATTAAATTCATTTTTCATATCTTTCAGTCTTGATTTATTATTAATTATTCGTTCATTATATCTACATATTTCTTCATCCTACAAACAATAAGTTATAATATTTGTTTTTTAAATAAATATATCATTTCTTAAAAATATCAAGACAGTTCCTACTTGTAATTCTAAACGATTTATCGCATAACAAATATGTTCTCTACTTCTTGTGAGGTAATCTTGTACTTGAAATATTGTTTGTGCAAAATCTGTATACTAAAAAAGAATTTTTTTATTGAAACTGGTTTTATTAATAATAATAAAGTAATAAAAATTTGTTTACGAACTTTACAATGCCTAGAGTTCAAGTTCGAAATTATAGCAGACATTTCTTCCCTCAAATCTTCCGTGGCTGCTTGTACTTCGACGGTACATATTCGAAATTCCTCCATCATACAAAATTGTTGCATGATAGCAGAAAATACCTTAACACATTTTGTTTATTTTGTAAATTCTTTTAAACTCAAGTATAATATTAAACTTACTTGTTGTTGCTCTTGGTCAGTTACAAAATTTTTTTTATAAAATAAATGAGTTTTTTCTATCTGCAAGAAATAATAATAATAATAAATAAATAAAAATAATGTTTTAATGTAAATGTAGAAATATCTGAAATTTGATTGTACCATTTTATTGATAGATTTAGAATTAGAGTCTTTCTTCCCCTGTATTTTCGACAGTGTTTGAACCCCAGATGTAACTTTGGTGATAATATCATCAATTTTTGACAGTACATTTTCTTTTGCACACATCTAAAATGATGATTAAGTATATGTTAAAAACCTTTTCATAAGGTCATTGACATTTGCTGTCAAATTAAATATTTACCTCACATTTATTTTGAAATAATTTTTCAATAAACTCTATTTTATTACTAATAATAGTAAGGAAGTCGCCAATACCATTGAAATTTCGATCCTAAAAAAATATTTTTTCTGAATTATGTTGAATATTTGAAAGCTCGCTTGGAAAATAATGGTAAATCGACTATGTACTTCAAATTTTTAATGTGCTGTTTATTAAATAAAATATTTTTTATAGGAGCATCACAATTCAACATCAACGATTACAATTTCTTCGTAGCTTCGTAAACTCTTCAAGATTCGAAATACTAAGAGGTAAGTTTACGAATATTCAAATATTTTGGTTTAAGAACAGTACGCAAAGAGGATAATCTTTTGAGAAATACTTACAAAAAATTAAAAATACTTACTACGTTTATTACTTTGTCTCGGTAGTCACGAATGCAATGTGCAATGTCTTCTAATTTTTCATATGCTAAAGCTACATCGTTTTCGTACATATTCTAAAATAAAAAATATTAGTTTTAATTTGAACATAATTTATTTTAGTTTTTTGTATAATCACTAACAACATGAAATTTTTGAATTATTGATAGCTTTGTTGTAAATAATGAAAATATTATATATAAATTAAATTTTAATCGTAATAGTTAAATGCTTAGAGTTAAAAAAATGTCTTGCTTCCATTTTAGCTGCTTTATATAAAAAAATATATGATTCATTTAGGTTTCAGTTATAAATCCATAAGAGTATCATTAATTAGCCTTACCTTGGTTTGTTTCAAGTCATTTAGTACAGTTTCATATTCAAGTTGAAGATTTAAAATAATATTTTTATCTTCTTCCATTGAACAAGCTAAATCTGTTAAGAATGAAAGTAGCTCATTCTTAAAAAAATAATCATTATTACAATAGGTAATGTAAAAAGAAAATACAATGTCTTGAAAACTGTAATTTTCTTACTTGTGTATCATTTGACGAAACCAAACTTGGAATCTAAAATTATAAAATGATTAATAATGTAATACACAGCTTCATGCTGAATTAGTAAATTAGTCAATTATATACCATGTTGGCACTTTCCACGTTACATTTTTTATTGCAAATTGATTTGAGTTCTGTTATTTCATTGTCTTTTGTAGCAATTAAGTTTTTAAGTTCTTCTAATTGCTCTATAGTAGCATGTGATCTATTTTCCATTGTTCCGTCTTTAAACTGAAATGAAATTAAACTAAAATAATATTTTGCAACTATTACAAGCTTGTAAATAGTTATCGTTATCTATTAAATTATTTTAATCCATGAAAGAGTTTTCAAGCGAAAAATCAATAGATCTTTTATTGCTAAAAGGTACATTATTATGAGTGATGTCCCTACTCAAAAGGCATGCATGAACATTTTTGAACAACCAAACTTACCTTTTGACAAGATTCTGTAGTCATCCTTACTTTTCTAACCGAACCGGAGATCTGAAACAAATAACCCGGAATATTTGACGACTTGATTATGAACGTACTAATTGAAAAAGTATTATAAATTAGATATTAAAATGTTATTGAATTGAATATTAATGCATTAAAATTTTAATCAAATTCTATGAAAAAGCAATAATGCTAAAAGAAATATGGTTTTTACATTTTATAAATTCCATTATGAATTTTATATAAAATTTGAAACGTTCTGAGGATTTAAGTGTTCTTTTAATGTAAAGTAAAACACAGCAACTGTTCACAGATTTATTAAAAAGAATAAAATATTGACGAAACTTTTAAATATGCTTCAATTTTCATTTTTTAATTGCAGGGACATATTTTCGATTGCGCTAATAATATAGTTTGATCAAGTTTCCGTTTTTCTTGTCTTATACGATTCATCGTTTCTTTAGATTTCTGAAAACATTTACTTTGTTGATAACTTGTAGACTGATTCTCTTGAAATTTAGGATTATATTTTCTTTCAAATTTGTAATCATTGTAGTTTTCATAACATTTATGTTCAGATATATTGTTGATATGAACAATAGATGCTCCATTTTTATATGAAGCAGATAAATATATAGAAGAGGGAATCTGTTCAGTGCATCGAACACGTGTTGGCTTGGAAATGTTCAACTAAAAATGTTATAAATTTACGAATTTAAAAAAAATGTAGCGGCAACTTTTGTTCTTAAAAAAATGTTATTGTAAATATTAGATATAGCGCTATTATAAGGTCAATTGCATACCGACCTCCAAACTTCATTCATTCAATAAATGCACTTTGAAATAAGAAACTGAAGTATGATAGTGTTTGTAAAAGAAAAATTGCAAAATCACAAATACAACTCTAGTTCAAGTTACCTTTTTATTGTTTGTTTTTATGTCATTTTTTAGTTGTTGAATTATTTCATCCTTAAAAGAGATAACATCCTTTGAATATTGAAGTTCATCTTCAAGCAGTTGAATTTTATTTTTCAATATTAAAAGTGAGTCATGATTCTGAGCTATTTCATCTGCTAATATTTTATGTGTCTCAATGGAGTCCTGCATAAAATGTTGTCATTATTTTGATTAATAATTAATATTTAAAGGTAGAATAATAACAATACACAAACTTTTTGTGAAATTGAATAGCATGTTTTAAGTTTTTCGTTTTCTCGACATTTCTCTTGAATGTCTAATTGTAGTTTACTGATTTTACATTCATAATCATGAATTTGCCTACTAAATTTTGTCTGATTATCGAGTAAGTGTTCATTTAATTTTTTTAATTCTAAATCTTTTTCAGCTAGCCAACTTTCTTTACTATTTGTCAAGCTGAAAATCTTAATATTACAATAATCTTCTTAAGAGTAAATTTTTAACCAATTAAATTTATTCTTAATATCTTGTTTATATTGATTCATATTATAGTATATATTCATTTGAAGTGATCAATGCAATGTAAAAATAAAATATTGTAACTTACGTGTTATGTAATTTGAATATTTATGTAATCTGTTGTTTTACTGTTTAAATAATGAAACATTTTTTTTTCATTTCAGATACATACATTTAGTAATGTTATTTTGGCATCAATTGATTTGATAAGCTTTAAAACTTTACAGTGTAACTAATTTTGATGTCTAACAAATATTTCACAAGTTAAATAATTAATTTACTGAACATTTATAAGACTTGCAGAAAAATTTGGTACACAATTATAATTGGTCAAAATACGTATTTTCAATTATTTCCTATTCCTTCTTCTTTCATAACTTGTATCAAATGATTAAATTATAACTGATTTTAAATTATGATATGCAGTAATCGACAAGCATTAGTAGCAAACTGTGTATTAATTTCTTTGAATTCTTAATTCAGTATTAAGTAAGTAATTTGAATTCTATATTTAAGTAATGGTTGAAGAGTTTAGCCAACAATCTTTAAGATTGTCCATGGAAATCACTTTAACTACATTTTATTATATATAATTTGAATTTTAGCTTAATACTTTTTAAAGTAGATTGTCCACCTTATAATTATATTATATTATTAATTTGTAAAATATGAAATGAAGTTTGAACTTACTTCCCCACAGGTGCATCTGAAAAATAAAATAGTAATATAGCAGTGAATTTTTTCTTAATTATTATTTTAATGATATAATTATAACTTACTCCTCTGGTGCAGGAATATCTGAAGGTTGGATTGCAAAAAATGTTATACCTTCAAGATCCCAATTATTTTCTATTCTACCACGCTTAATGAATTCGAGTAGATTATCAATATCTTTATGTAAAAAATCAATTTTGGTTTTCATGTTATCTTGCTCTTCAACTAATTCACATATACGGCCTGACAGTGCATTCAAATCCTGTATACATAAAATAAGAAAATATTAACATCTATTAATATCGCAATAATCAATTTTAATACAATTATTTATTATATCCATTTGATGAGTTTTAACATACTTCTCCAGGCTTATCTGAATTCATCATGTTGTGCGATATCAGATTTGAAGTTTCTTGTAATTTATTTTCTAATAATTTCACTCGTTCAACAGTAGCTTCTTCTAAATCATGGACAATTTGTACTAACATTGTATTCTGTTCTCCTAAATCTCTGATCCAATCTGACATTATTTTCATTTTAGACTGAAATGGAATTATTAAAGCATTAAATATAATCAAGAATTTCATTTTGATTCGTAGAGTACTAAAAAGCTCTCCAGAAAATGTGTTCTATTTAAATCTCTCTAAGGAATCTATTTTTATCTGCTGCAATCTACTACAATGTTGTGAGTTTTATAAATTTTAGAAAAATATATAAATACTATTATTTAAAAAATATATTTCTTAAACAAAATGAATCTGAACAAATTTTTAGAATAATATTTATATAATAAGCTACATACTTTTAATAATTTTTCACTATGAACACAGTTATTGAAAATAAATCAAAAGATAATTGGCATTGATAATGTCAATGAAAACATTCATATGATTAATAAACTAAATGGAGAATTAAAAAGAAAAAACTATTAAAAAGAAAATGTAAGAATAAACATATACATATGTATATATATATATATATATACATACATACACACGCAGGCAACAAACATATGCCATAATATATGTAAACAAATAAAATACCTCATTTCGTTGGGTATCTGTAATTTTAACGTTTGCTTCTATTTCTGCAATGCGGCCTTGGTAAAATCTCTCAAACTGACTTAAAATCTGGAGGGAGCAGGGTTCAGCATCGGCAGAGGACGGTTTACACGCCTGCTCCAAGGCACAATTTTGAGAGGAAAGCATAGCTACAACTATTAATCCAAAGCTTACGTCTACTTTTTCAAATTTTCCTATCTTTGCTGATGATAAAGTAACTTATCTATGTGGACAATAATATGGTTGCCATCAAATTGTTCGTTTTCAGTCAGGTACAACTAATATCAGCATCACTTAAATTTATAAAATATCACGCGACCGACACGGCGCAGCAATAAATATTCCCAACTCAACCTCAAAACAGTAGGAGGAATCGGTTCTTTCCTCCTCAAAAAGTAGTTTACGCAGCTTCTGCTGCTGAATGCGATGCGGTGTAGTTCGTTGACTGAACCACGCCGCACTCGAAAAAGAGGAAGAGAGGGAGAAGGAACGAAAACTTCGTACTCTTAAGAGTCAGTGGGATGCTTCTCTCCTCTCTTTCTCTTGCTCTACTCTGCTCTCTCTTCTGTTTTTGTCCTACTCGCATCATGAAGTCTTAAATACATAGTTTCCCTGACTCGCACACCACAAGAGTCGTACTGTTGTGTGTGTGTGTGTGTGTGTGTGTGTGTGTGTATCAGCGGTTTGGAAAGGCCTTTTATTACTGCGAGGGTATATTCCTGTGATGTTCTTCAAAATCACACAGAATAAGAACATCATAGGAATATTCCTTCAGTGTGGAAAAATTGGAAAGAGATAGATCTAACGTTATAAATAATAAATATGAATTTGTTTTTAAATTGAACAGTTTGGAGTATCAATATTATGAGATTATCTAGAAGCGGGCACCTGCACATAAAATCCTCTTTTGCGTGCCAAATTTAAATAGAAAAAGAACTCTAATAGGTCTATAAAATAACTAATAACTCTATAATCTTAATACTCGTGACTCAACCCATAGCGTGAGTAGAAAAATGCTCAGCCTGACTAAATAACAAAGGAATTCGCACTATAAATTCATAAAATTAAATATAATAATAAAAAATATATAATAATAAAAATTTTAACTATGTAAAAGAGGAAAAATAAAAATAATCCTATAAGTAAATGCAAAAAGTAGAAAAATATGTTTCAAAATTGGAGGATTCTCCAAATAAATTGCGCATGCTCTAATATTGGCTTGCTGTCGGCACTTGTCGGTGTCGTTCGACGTCCATGGAGTGGTGTGAGGAGTTGGTATACAATTGTGGCTGCGTCCACAATATGGTTGTATCTCTTGTTCGTATCAGTATTTGCCCTCCACTGTGACTACAGTATAGAATATATGGTCACCACTTGCTGGATGGCACTGTCTGCTAATTGAGGTTGGGTTTTCATGACTTCATAGATATAGAGTGAAGCAAGCATATAGGTATCCAATTTATTCCCGATAAGAGGGTGAGGGTACAGGAGCGCAGCCAATAAAGTAAGATTATTGAACATTTGATTAAAAAAGCAGCAATGGCAGCGGCAGCGAGTGTCAGAATGTACAGCTGCGATGGATAGAAATAATGTGAATATGTGTAGGTAAGAGAAAGAGAAGGAGCAACATTGAGAAGTGAAGAGAAATGCGCGTCGACGAGGTGTAAATGTAGCAGACGGTAGGACTACAGTAACAAGGAGTAAGCTTTGAAGTAAAGAGTGTATCGCGGAAGCAAGCATTAAGGTGGAAAGAAACCTTACTACTTTTTTGGAAACAACAGCGAGAGTGTGAAGGACAAACATTGTGAAGTTCGTGTCGCAAGGGCCGTCGTTGCGATCGCTTTCTGCTGCTACTGCTGCTGGCCATCTTGGCGAGATAGGTATGCCGTATCGCGGAAGCGACGAGCATCAACAACTAACAGTGCCAGTGCCAACAGCAGATCTTTGATCGCTGTTGAGCACGGTTTCGTGTGTTCCCGTAGTTGTGGTTGTCGACCGGGCTACTGATTTAGTAAGCGCGCAATAGCAGATGAACAAGTCACCAGGTTGACTTTCCAGTTGTCTCTCCTCCATTGCCAGCGCTGCTATCTTTCATAGGGGACGATTGACCAACGATCAAGATGAATCGTGCAGACGGCCTGGTACAACGACGTCGTGGCACAGCAAGCGCCAACGGATCCGGCAACCAGGAAACCTCGGGGGAGGCCCAAGGTGCACATTCCGAGCGACAGTCTCCTCAGGATTTGGATGGCTCTTCTGTCAAAGATTTTAACTCCAATCCGGCTCTCGATGATGACAGTGACAAGGAAACAAGGCTCACTCTTATGGAAGAGGTTCTCTTACTGGGTCTTAAAGATAAAGAGGTTTGTCGTTTATCTATATTTCACTTCCTCTTTAACTTAAACTAATTACAAGTTACTTTGCCATCATATTTCTAGGACTGTTCTTTTTTTTATATCTTATCTATACAACTTCCGTTTTTTCTTGATAGTAGTCTTCGACTAGTTTGTTGTAAGCATCTTTATATATCGATGAAACATATATGTATAAATATTCAAATTTAAAACAATAATTAATAAGGTCTTCTCTAATTTAACTTTTTTAACTTGAATTATTTTTATTAAATATAATCTTTTATATTAATACTCAAAATTTATATTAAAAACAAATTTTTATTTAAATAGATTTCTATCTACAGCAATTATTCTTTGCTTAAATGAGTTTGTCATTCACCTCCTAGTTATTTTTTATCACAGTATGCTTTTCAATGGCAATATTTAATAATAAATACAAAAGTCAAATAATTGTTGTAATTACAAGTATGACTATTACTTGTAGATAGAAATTTGTTGATGGAGAAAAATTCTAAAATCATGAGTTATAAGTTTGTATATAGTATAGATAAAGATTCAATAATTCAGTAATAATTCATCTTATTTTATAGGGCTATACCTCATTCTGGAATGACTGTATAAGCTCAGGATTGAGAGGTTGTATTTTAGCAGAACTTGGACTTCGAAACCGTGTAGAACTCGAAAAGGCTGGCATGAGAAAAAGGGGATTATTAACAAGAAAACTGCTATTGAAAAATAATGCGCCTACTGGTGATGTCTTGTTGGATGAGGCATTAAAGCACCTCAAAGAAACTGATCCTCCGGAAACAGTACAAAGTTGGATAGAATATTTGAGTGGTAAGAAAATTTTTCATTTTTCAAAATATATCAGTGTAAATTTATTTTAATTTAAAATACTGATTTCAAGTTCATTTTTTGATTGATTCTTTAATTTCAGGAGAAACATGGAACCCATTAAAATTACGTTATCAGTTAAAAAATGTTCGAGAAAGGCTTGCAAAAAATCTTGTTGAAAAAGGAGTTTTAACAACAGAAAAACAAAATTTCCTTCTTTTTGATATGACTACTCACCCATTAACAGATAACCTTGCGAAAACTCGACTAGTGAGAAAGGTAATTGATCAGCTGACAGGCTTTTATTTAATGTAATTCATTTTTTTCAAATACTTTTTACACGCTTCCAAAAATATTTACCTTGATGTCTACCTAATCTCTACTTGATAAATATTCCTATTTAAGGTTTATCCGAAATGTAAATATATTATTTTGTTTACAAATATTTATATGGGAATGGTAGTTGAATTTGTGTTGAAAAAATTATTTCTTATAGTAAATTTATCAATTTAGACTCAGTTTCGTGAAATCAAGAATATAAGAAATGCACCTATACTTATTTATGTGATGGATGGCAATTTAATGATTTAAAAAATTTTGTACTACGTCAGTACTATATTCTTTTAACTAATATTCTACATACCAAAGCCCTAACTTTGTTATACAGAAATGCTTTTCCAGAGATATAAAAATATGCAAACGAAGAAATTGAATTTGCTACAAGATTTAGCTTTAAATAATAATAATGATAACGCATCGTAAAAAATGTAAATGAATGAATGGTTTTAATAAAATGTGGATCAATTTGGATCTCTTGAGTGCAACTTTTTAGTATAAAAATCCGTAAATTTTGTACTATTAAACAATGATATAATGACGATTCAACGGTATATACGTTAAAAAAACTATTTTTGAACATTTATTACACTTATGTATTGATGTATGGTTCGTTCTCCATATTTCTCTGCTTATTCAAGATTAAATGGTGAAGTAAACTCATTACTCGTTTTTATATCTGCAGATATGTGACAGGTACCTGGTTCTTAGATTTTGTTATTCCCGTTTAATTACTGATAAACTTTGTAAATGTTAACCTCAGTTACTCCTCGAAATTAATTAAAAAATGGTAGTTGAAGCATATATCTATGGTAAGTTTCAAGTTGTTTCAGAATAACGAAATCTATGAAGATACGAGATTTGCAAATAGTCTTTATGACCCTCCGAAAAATTAACATGTTCCATTTAGCAGATATACATAAAAACATTGCATATTGTAAAAATATTCTTAGGTACATTATAAAATTGATAATAATGGTAGACCTATTTTCTTTACAGATTCAAGATGCAGTGTTGAGTAGATGGGTAAATGATGCAGGTCGAATGGATCGACGCACGTTGGCATTGATAATTCTTGCACATGCAGCAGACGTCCTCGAAAATGCATTCGCGCCTTTGTCAGATGATGACTATGAGGTAGCAATGCGCCGAGTAAGAACGTTACTTGACCTTGATTTTGAATCCGAAGCAACAAAATCTAATGCCAATCCGGTCCTCTGGGCTGTTTTTGCAGCTTTTACCAAGTAACACCTTTTTATTAATCGATGATGCTATGAAATCTTTTCTGAGACAAGAAAAGTATATTACGAAGTGCAATCATGGATAAAACAAGTTCGGCTTACGAACCAATTAAATTAACACTACGTAAAGAAAGTTGCTTCTTTAAAACTCATTCAAAGATTTGTTTAAATCAAAATAATATTCAATAGCAGACTTCGTTTTGGAAGTTCTTTCGAACGCAGAGAAACACTATTAAAATTACCAAATGGTTAATCCTTAATTAAAACAAAAAAAATTTCATCATTCGAAATATACTGTACGATGTAATTTTCAATAACGTGTAATGTATTATATATGAAGTTCATACAACTTTGAGTAATTATTTGTTTCTGCAGTTTAGCAAAAAATTAAATCATTTTTTAATATTAACGAAGCTTGTAATTGCCGTCGATTGATTTGACTATTGTTGTGTACAGTTTTTATTATCTAAATCTGGTTAAATATTTCAGTATCAGGGATTAGTAAAAATCAAAATTGTTATTATGTTGATTCTCTTATTTTCTTAATATAAAGAAATTTTGAAATATCTCTGCGACCAATAATTTGTTTTATAACTAGAATTGATACCTTTTGCTACAATTCTTGTAAGTGATGAGGAAAAAATTCCAGTGACTATTTTGTTTGAACAATAGTTGGAACATATAACATTTCATGAACTATTAAAAAAATTAAGTTTAATTCAAATATGTCAGTCAGCATTCAATTTATGACGTCGTGTATTTATAGTTGATTTTTCGAAACTGCACGTTATTTTTATTCAAATGAATAGGATTGCCATTTTTGATAATTTAACGATTTTTATGGGATATCGGCAATTACATGTATGAATGTCACACTAATGCACAAGTTTCAAATGATAACGTTTTTTATTTCATTTTATATTGAATTTGAATTTTAGTATTTTTAAATTGTCAAATATTATTCCTAGAGAAATTGGTCGTTATAGAAATATTTTAATTTTTAACTTTTTATACATTGATTCAAAAAATATAATAATTGGATTTTAAGGGATATAGAAATCAAATGTGAAATAATTGTCAAGTATTTGAAAAAATACAAAAAGGAACTTGAAAATTAAGCTTATACATTTTGAAAATCATTGTCAGAGATATTATGATGAATTATTGTAAAAAAATATCAGTTAATGTAAATGTTAGGTTCAATGTCGACCTCTTCATTCGGAATAGAAGTAATTGTACAAAAGTTTACATAAAAAAGATATATAATATACTTACGAGTAAAGGTTACTTATTACATTATTACTATTATTAAATATATCGTAAGGATAAATGTAATAAATAAAAATAATAAATATAATAAACATTTTTTCTGTAAAAAATATATTAATGAATCATTTTTGAAGATCCAAAATTTACATAACTTTTATTTTATATTACTAGAAATATTTTGGTAAAACTGGATTTATAATCAGTCATTATTTATAAAGTAAGTTTTTTTACCTTCATAGAATAACATTAAATCTCTTGAAATATTTTAGAAAATAAACAACACTTTTATAGAGATAGATTAAATATCACTGCAATATTTTATATACCATTTAATGTATTTACAATGCATTAAAAAATTAAAATTGAAAAAACAGTCTAATTTTTATAATCATTAGTGAATATAGCTTTGAATTAAACCATATTTTCCTGTAATCATCCAGTCAGGTTCATTTTCATCTAAAGATTTAATTTTTTCAGATTGCAATCCTACACATAAATCAGCTTTTAATGTTCTTAAGCTAACTAAATTCGTTGGTTTGAAACCTCGTAAAGCATCCTCAAATTCTGTTGTATATTTCCAATTAATATCACCTAAAAGTTTCCGGTAGTTAAGATCACCTTTGAATATAACTAATTTAGCTTCTGCTAATTTGTTGTACAATGTTGGATTTTCATTTTTCATTTCAGAATAATCAAAAGGTTCTGTCCAAAATGATTCTTTCTGTAAAAAAATTAATTATTTAGGTATAATTTAAAGTGTATTCGAATTAATTAATAGCATTTTTACATAGTTACCTCTATCGTCCATATATTATTTTTATAGCATTTTTCACAATAACTACCAAAAGTATGAATATCAGAGTTCTCTGCTTTCACCATAGATTCAATAAGCCATTCAAAATCATTGGTTGTAACATCGCTGATAAACCAAGGGTACTGTTTGACATAAAATCTTATCTTTTTAGCAAACTTAAATGTTATCAGATATGCTGCTAAACATAAATCAGTAAATAATTCATAGGCAGCATTATCCAATACAATATCTATAATGTTATCCATTTTGTCTAAACAGCAAATATCTAGGAGATTCCAAACTTTTCGGCTATCATCTATTAAAAGTTTGTTATTAAGAGATTCCAACAAATTCAGTGGATTATGTTCTTGTGATATTAATTCTCCACTACTCAAAGATAAATCACATCTAAAAATATAATACTTTAAAAATTCAGAGAATTTAACACTTCTCTCATTAAATAACAGGATTATTAAATGTTCTTACCTGTTACCCCATAAGCTGAGTCTTAAGAAAGTTATAAAATTATTTTGAAGTTCTTCTGTATTAAAATTACTGCTTGTATTGATTAATTTCATAATATGTTCTGACACGAAATTCATACTTTTCAATGATTGAAAATAACTTTCTTTTTTTTGAATTAGAAATGGATCATAAGTTTTTAAGTAATTTCTAGAATAAGTTATAAAAATAATTTAAAAAATGTTATATAATTGATAATTATACCAGTTGTCAAACTTACGTATGTTCTAGTTCTTGGATTACTCTTCGGTACATATAGCATTCACATATAAGCCAAATAGTATTATACCAAGTTTGAGTTTCTTTTTTTGCTTTTTGTAGTTGTTCGATTTTATTATTCCACACTGATGCATCATTATCGAAAGCATATTTGGATCCTTCAATAAGCAGGAGGGGCTTATTTGTTACTAATTCATTTTTTAGTTTACTTATACCCCCAATCACCTGCTTAATATCCTCTACAGCACCCTTAACAAAAGACCATACTATTTATTTTTATCAAAGTAAGATCCAAATATCAAATATTTACCATAAGACTAACATGACAATTAATTAATCCATGGTCTTAATGAATAATAATTAGATTATTTACTTTAAAATTTACTTACTGCACCATATTTTTGTGTTATGTTATCCTTTTCGCGGCTGAGTGTATCAATTATTTGAGTTAATATCACAGGAAGTCTATCTTTGATAGTTTTAAAAGCAAAACTCCTATAAGAGAATAAACATTAGTAAAATAATGGTATATCACGATAAATCAATAATTCATAGTAATGTTTTGGCTACATGCTTATTATTACTAGTTAAAGAAAGATGTTCTCAAGTTTAAAAACGATGTTAAGTACTATAATAATAAGTATTAAAATTGATATTTTAATTTATGTGTATATAGCACTTTGTTACCTTTTATATTTTCCAGATAAAAAACTATCGATGGGTGGTTTAATATCTTCTAAACAAAAAATATCGGCTAAATTCTCGCGTACAGTGATCTTCGACATGGTAAAGAATGATTGAAAAATTAACTATTGCAATTTATGTGATCTACGTGATTGTCAATGCAATAAGTTGAATATGAATCTAATTGTAAAGATATATAATTCGAATAAATTTAATATCAAATGTAATTGCACAAACATTAATCTTGGATTAAAGATCTGAAACTTATATAACACTAATTTAATATTACTGCATGAGATGTTCGACGAAACAATTTTTGTGGTTAGGTTTATGCAAATGCAAAAGTATAGTTACAAATTGGATAAGCTCTGCGGTCAATTTATAATATGGCCATGGTAACTATGGCAGTACGTATACTAGTAAGTCACAAGTTAGAAATTTATCGTCTACACACATACGGACACTAGTTTATTTGTAACCACGGTAGTGGTCGAGGCAAGTATATAGTTTACTAGATGGAAGGGAAGTAGCTCTCTCTCTAAGGTGCTGATATGCTAATACGCAAGCACATATAAGGCATTTTTAATTGTAACGTTATCCTAGGCAACATGACGTATACTTGGATTTCTCAACTCCAATTAATTCGATTAATTAATTAATTGTGTCTGCATTCGAAGATATGGTAAAGAAACTGAATAAATTTGTTGCAAAAAGTTTAATTGTTGAAACGCTTATAATTTTTTCTCTAATTAAGCTACGAGTACCATCTGTATGCCATAGTTTTCAAAATTTTAAGAAACCGATTTTAAAAAAAGATATCGCTTCCTCACTAATAATGGGGTGAATTTCTAAAGTTCAAATGTTTGAGCATAGTCACATTCTTTTCTACGGAGATAACCGGAACTGTAACTGTGTCAAATGATTTTCTATTCAATAACAAGTATGTACCTTTTTGTAAAATAAAAAAATATTGAAAAGTTCTTGATTTCTGGCATTCACAAAATGAACAAAAAATGCCTGATTTAAGGTAGATATAGGATTGTCTTGTGCACAATTCACCAGTGCAATTAAACATTAATTCATTAACTGGTAGTAGTAGTATATCTACAGTTACAGGAACTAACAATTCATCTTACTTTTTCGAACCGAAAAGTAAAGCCTGTTTTTACATATTCAAAATGCCAAAATATTAATAAGTATCGAAGATATATTAGATGAATGGAAAAAAAAATTACAAAGTGTAAGGACGAGGACTTTGGTATATATCGGGTTTATTCACACTAGAACGAATTAATGCAAATATCTTATGTCAAAAGTTTTGATAGAATATATTTTCAATACAGTTAATAAAACTTTGAATTTGCTGGATTGCTATATTTGAAGTATAGTCAAGTCGCATATCTTAACTAATTGTTTATGAGCTTGCTCAAGTGTGATTGTTCTAACGCAAATTTTATTTGTACGAGAATAGTATGTGCATTTTTATTTTATAATTAATTGAAAAATAGTTAGAAACCCGTATTTATGGAAGATACCTTGTGTATAATCTGTAATAACGAGAAAATTAATGGCTCATTTTGCGAGAAACAAGAGTGTATAGTATTACGAGCTCTGAGAAGAGATGACAAAAAATAAAACATGCAACTAATATGTGCTAAGATTTGATTTTTCGTCATTTGAAGTGAATGCTAGAAAATGATAAATATTTTCAATTGTATTAATATTAATTTAATGAATGAATTATCGCCGCTGATAGGCTAAAGCCGTTTTTATTAAGTCACACATAAGCTGTTTTATTGTATAAACATCGACTTATTTAAAAAAGAATTTATTGTGCACCAAAACAATTTATTTTGTAAAAATTACTCACATTAAAAAATACAAATGTTCTGTTTGTGAAGAAAAGTGATGAATAATAACATTTTTTCACGTAATGTTTTCTATTATTTTTCAACTGAATTTCACTATCATATAAACAATGAGTGCTACAAAAAGTATACTAAGAAAAAAATTTACAAAAACTATCAGATAATAAGAAAGCTCATGATACCAATAGAAAGCATAAGAGTCATCAATTTAATTTTTTTGAGCAATGAAAATCGAAAAGATGCTCTACAAATTTGATCGCAATGAAAAGAAATACATTGTGTATTGACAAGTTTGTCATAATGCAGTGAAAGATAATTGAAGTTGCGGATATGAGGTGTTGAAGGCGTGAGGTTGAGCGGTAATAGTGAATAATAACCTATTGAGATTTTATAATTCTTTAGTACTGTGACGTCCGGGTCACTATCTCAGGTACGTCTAGGCGGACGTTTTCTCAGGTGCTCTATTTGGTTTGCGTGCGTACGCTTAAACCAGGACGAGCAATTGGAGTATTAGAGCTTTTCTATTTCACGTTTCGCGTTGAAAGAGAGAAAAATAAAATTGGACTATAAGTCTCCCATCAAACACCAGGATCCAATGGAATCGGGACTTGCATGTGAATATCCCAGACCTTGCTGGAATTGTCACATAAAAGAATTTAATTTTTCTTTAGCGGCGCGACTGTCTTATAGAAAAGTATCCCAATCCTTGTTGAAATACTCTTCGAAGACTTGTTTTTTCGAATTCCGGTCTAACTATTTTAATAGAAAGGAAGAGGAAAGATAGCAATAAAAAATTTTGTTTAAACTTACTTTTGTTTTATTCAATGGAGTTGACTGGTACTTGGAGAGTCTGGACCTGACACTTGGACGAACTTCGTACAATGTAGTAAAACTTATGAAACTGGCGAGGAGCGAGAGAGTGGGCGATTTTCGTTTGCGCACGCCCTTTTAAACCCTGGGGGTGGTTGGGAGGAAAATCCCTCTTTCAGTCCCTTAAAATTTGGGAAGAGTGGAAATGCCAGTAAATTCTAATTGTCTGACTGAGATTTTCCCTCCTTTTCTCTTTCGGATTTCGGGCCCTAATTGGTTCAGGGGCGTGGTGAGAATTGGGGGCACGCGTTCAAGAGTTTGGGCCCTATCTCGTTAGATGGCTCTCCAAGTACCATTTTCATTACAGATTTTCTTATAATTATTAATTTATTTGTTACGTAAAATTGTTACAATTAATTCTTAATAATAACGCAAGTTTCTTAATATTTAACATATTTTACGCGAAAATCTCTAATCCTACATGTTTACAATTAGTAACTTAAATAATTAACTCAATTCGTTGTTTAAATAATATGGAATGAAAAAGGGGCATTATTTAATTGTGGACTATATAATTGATTTACTAAAGTTCATTCAGGTAACTGTTTTTCGACTATTTATCTCATTTTCTAATTTATAATTTCAAAACTTTGGGATATTTTCGATGATTGCGCGGTAACTACGTTTTTAATCAAAAAGTGTGCGGGAGGTTTCAAGAAGCTGCGAAATTTTCCTATCATGCTGTTATTTTCTTAATTCATTTATACAAAAATAATTATTGAATTTTTTCTATATGGCAAAAGTTTTAGCTTCTAAAAGTAGAAAACTTTTGGATGAAATCATGCAACAGGATGTAGACAGAATTCCGCGGCTCCTTTACTCTATATCTAAACCTACTCAAAAAAAACTTTACGATCTTTCGGAGTAAAATTCGGAAAGCGCGCGACAAAGGGACGGGTATTTTCACGTGTCCTCCAGCCGCTTCAGCTGAATGCTCTCCCTTTGCTCATTCACGGAGTTAAAATTTAAGTTACGTATTGAACACGCAAAAGCATACGAGAAAAAAAATTAATTTTATTCATAGTAAACGGCCTGACGTTACAGTACTTTTAGAAGATTAATAATACAAAATCGTTGGATAAAAAAATGAAATAAACTAAAACTAAACTAAATAGTTAGCAGAAAAAATCTCGACTCACGAGGAAAAAACCTATTATTGCTTTCTCGTAGAGGAAGCTTCTATTTGAATAAAAAAATTATTTTCCCGAAAACTACTAGAAGTTTGTTTAAGGTTATCAGGGGTCTAAAAATGTAATTTTTCTGAAATGCCTGTATGTCATGTGTGTGTGTGTGTGTATGATATGTACGTATGTCGTTATCAATAACTCTAGCAGTTCTGTCAAAAATCAAAATTATGTGACTTGAAAAATTATGAAGTTTAGGTTTTCAATCATTTTTTAATTTTATACGCGGGATTTATTAAATCTTGTGTTAGTTTTGTAGTAATTTTATTTTCCTTTTATTTGAAAAAAAATCCTATTTCCAGCTGCCTTTGTTTTAAAATTACATTGCAAAACGTTAAAAAAATCACATTTTGAAAAATAATGCATGAACTTTTTTAAAAATTTACTGAAGTTGTTTTATATTATTAGTAAAATATCTTGTAAAGTAAAATATCTTAAGTCTTTGTATGGATTATTTTCCGCAAAAAAATTTTTTGTTTAAAAATAGACCCTTTTTGTTTTTACAATAACAGGAGTAAATTGAATCAAATCGACTTGAAATTTGGAACAAATATTACTTATTATAAACAATAAACTGAGTTGTTTGTATAGGTCCTTCGAGTCATATAATTCTTCAGATATTTTAGATTAAGTAATATACACTTAATATATAGGGTCGTTGAACGACATATCTTGGTCATATATTCATAAAACAAAATGACTCAATGTGAAATTAAAATATTAAATGTTATAGGCCGGGTACACGGTATCTTTATGAGAGAAGTTATTGAACTTTTAGCCTTCAACTTAATTTTTTTACCTTAATTACCCGTTTTAATTATACTTTTTTTTACCAGGAGATCGTTATCGCGTAGCGTATGCGTCTGTCTTCATAGCAATGAGTTTTTTCGCCGCATTAAGACATCAAAAAGATAGAGCTTTTTCAAAAAAGTTTGAATTAATCATTTTTCTTTATAATTTGTGATCTTCATCGTGTTAAAAATGAGTGAACAAAATACTAGCAGGGTACGATCCGCTTGCACCATATCCGACTCTTAGAAGGAAATTTCGACGGACAACGAAGAAGTTCAAAATCCTTCTTCGAGCAAGAGACGTCAATTCGAGAGATGCATCAGATGCACCAACAAATAAACTATTTAGCTATTATTATCAATTTAAATTTTTCTGCTCGTTTGGAGATTTTTGTTTCAACTTCTAACAATATGCCTTTGTTAGCTGTTTGACAACTGCGATCGTGTCGCACGATAGTAAGTGCGATTGGTAGGGGGTTGTATTATAAGTTCGCCGAATAGATTGTAATTTACAGTGTGGTCTGAGACGTTGTACTGGGATACTCAACTATCAAAATAAATATCTATAACCGAGAGTTGTTTTTCTATTAATATTGACACGCTATCCTTCCTGCCTCGACCCTTTCAGCTCAGAAGTGGGATAATTACTGAAATAAGAGGGTAAATAACTGGTTTGGAAATGAAGGAGTACATGAGAAACATGATTGCAATACAGCAAGAAGGTTATTTACAGTTATGCCAGACGCTGGATGCTATGGTTTCGCAGCTCTCTCAGATGACAGCTATTGGAAGCACGAGACCGTGAGATCATCA